GCGGGTTAACGTTCGTCATCCACTTTCAAAGCATCATTCGATGTTATAGTTGAAAGTTTGAGTGCCCTTGAGCAAGATGGCGACTCTAGAGCAAGGTCCCTTAGATATTCCATTCAATTTTTTGACTTCAACATTGGCCTTGTTGTTACTCAACACATAGTCCAGTACACAGTTTAGTTATCTCTCATGTTGCAGTCTCCGACCATTGACCTCATTCGTGCATCAAACCACGAGGCCTCTGTTGTCATCAGGAGTTAGAGACAGATTCCTGATGACGAGTCTGTATGGGAGGAACTTTTCAGTGAGGCATCTGATATTGCAAGCAAATACGACATTATTCCCACCAAGCCAAGATGTCTGAGCCGTCAAACGATGCGCGACAATGCCCCTGCATCCACACCTGGAGTCTACTGGAAGAGGAATCTTTTTTACCCTTTGCTAGATCATATGGCTCAGCAATTAGAGGACAGGATTATCTAGTCCCAATGGCCGATTCGAAGCTCAGAATTTTGTACCTACTTCTGTTCATGATATGTCCGAGGAAATGGATAGACGAATATTCGCACAGTTCACTGAGCTGAAAGAGAACTCACATAACCAACAAACGGTAGAAATCAGGCGATGGCAAGTACGTTGGCAAGATATTCCAGCAGAGGAGAAACCATCGTTTTTGTTGGCAACAGTGGACTGCGCAAAAGAAGATCTTTATCCAAATATCCATGTTGCCCTCAACACACTTGTGACAATGCCAGTGTCTTCGGCAACTGCTGAGCGTTCCTTCAGCGCAATGAGACGTGTTAAAACGTATCTCAGGTCAACAATGGTAACGGAATGGCTTTATGCACTTGCACTACTTCATATTCACAGGGATTTTGATGTCAACTTTGATAAGGTGGTGGATGATTTTGCAGAAGGGAAAACCCGCAAAATGGCAATTCTCTTCAAGTAGAGATGCATACAGTAACTCATGCCAGCAGATCTGTTCCTGGCTGTTTCACACAATTTCATAGATGGTTTAGCTATTCTTGTTCTTGTTCCCTTTACAACGTTCATGTATTTCTGAGAGTTCCAGTTGATTGTTTTGTGGTTTATTGGACGTTGATTCCAGCGGCCATGATGTCTACTCCATCTCAAACGCACCTGGCTGTGACGTGGTGTTAGTGGTGGACGAACTTCAGGTCGCCTACATCGGAGTCCGCCTGCCCTTAAACGCCGACAAACGGTGCTCCTGGATATCCTTACATTGTTAACATTGAAGTGTTCTGTCTGAAGATCTGCTACGTTAAAGAATCTGTTACGCAAGGCAGTGTTAATCATGTGCCTATTAGCTCGGACAATTGTGACTCTAGGGCGACCTGGTTGACGAGCATATTCCACGGACCCATTGGCTTGAATTCTCTGCCACAGTCTACCAATAGCACTCTGACTCACATTAAGGCGGACAGCAACCTGCCGCTGAGTTTGACCAGATTCCAAAAGGCCTATAGCCTGACCCCTTTCAGCAAGTGTCAAAAAACGTATCATTTTAAGCTGCGATTTCAAACAGGTACCTGGACAGTGAACGACAGTGAACAAATATCAATGCATGTGTATTATCCTCCACTTTCCATGGATAGAGCGACTTGCACGTGCAAATCATTGCCATTAAAGTGGCATATTGACCATTTCCATACTGAAAATTTGAAAAAGAATGTGCCATTCATAACAGAATATATCGAACGTAAAACACAACTTTGCAGATTCTGATACCTTACGCTTTGGACTTAAGGTATCAAAAATGCAAATTCAACTTAAAAAGTTTTAAAAAAATATAAAATTACGCTATAAAAAAATACAAACGATTCACTAAAAAAAGCCCAGCAGGGGTGAAAAGTGGTTTCAGAGCTTTGCTGCGCTGCGCAGAAAGCGCATGCGCAGTGAATAGGTTCGCGCGGCTCGAACCGGGATGCCCGGATTATAAGGTCGTGAGCAGGAGTAGTCTAATCTTGGTTGTGTACACAAACAACAAATAGTAAATGATCTACTCGTTACATAAAAAAAACCTTGTTAAGGTTCTAGATCTACTCAGCAAAGTGTTCGACATTTCAAGACGGAAAACCTTCGTTGGCGGTGAGTACTCGGAGAAGGCTTTGATGTGAGCTATTTTTCTAATGTTTTGTTGATATTTCACAGGCGCGATTTAACTGTTATATAATTTCATTTGACTATTTCGCCACACGTTCTTCTTACCGAGTCACTTTCTCAGTTCGATACTTAACAACAACGTCATTATCTAGCATTGTCAGAATTCCTAACTGTGGTATAGATAGATATGCCTCTGTCACAGACAAAACTAAATGTCTGTTTTATTGACACCTCTGTGTCTGCCTGCCTGCCTGCCTGCTAATGACAATATGCAATACACAACTTCAATCATTGACCACGCGCAATTTGAACTAACACCTATCAGGCTATACACCATAAACAAAACACATTGATTTATGGCTCGTGCACCTGAGTTCTGTCTCTGTCACATTATGCAATTACACAGACAGGCAGGTGTGATACTTGTACACATGACATGTTATGATGTTGATTGCAAAATGTTATGCACAATAAATGAGCATGTATTTACAAAACCCAACATCTCTCTCTCTCTCTACACACACACACACACACACACACACACACACACACACACACACACACACACACACACACACACACACACACACACACACACACACACACACACACACACACACACACACACACACACACACACACACACACACAGCGAGAGAGAGCCCTGAGCTTATCGGCAATGAAAGTACTCGTTACACTCGTGCACGCCCACCAAAACAAAAAAAATTGATTTGCAATTGTACGCTTATAATTTTGTTTATTTGTTAGTTTGTTGTCATAATGAGCAATGTATATTATATCTCATGAATAAAGGATAATTGTGTTTTAATTATGTTTATTTTGTTGGTTGCATCTAAGCTTTAACGAACGTAATAATGACATTTCAAAGGCCTGGTGTGTTTTCCATACTGTTAAGAAAGTTTGTAAGACATTCAGTTGTATATATCTCAAACAAAAACGAAGATTTTACAACTTTTAAGAAATAGTGTTACAAACAGGTTGATGACACCGAGTATACATCAGTTAATTCATACAGACACCCGCTCATTACATATAATTCACTTTACCATCAAACGCCTTGTCCTCCTGCTTACTGCGTCGTACCTCTTTGAGGAAAGCTGTGGCGAAATCTTCAACGTTGTCTGCGTCAAAGTTGTTGACGCGGTCCTCAGCGTGACGAGCTACCTCTTTCTTCAAAACCGCTACGTTTCTCACAAGACGGTTATAATTAAAGAAATCTCACGGTATAAATCTCACGGCTGGAAACAGATCGACCATGTTTGAATTTCCCATGTCACTTGCAATCATTTCTACTGCGTCTGTCAGCTTTATGAATCGTGGGTCGTTGTATTCATAATGACGCTTTCCGAAACAAAGTCCACAAATTATGTTGGACATAGCAGTGAAGATCAGTTGTTTACAATCAATCTCTTTTGAACCTTCATCCTCGAAAACTTTCAAAAGGACATTCAACTCTTGGTGTATTTTCTCTTCAGCGATTGAACTTGCCATCCCTAATTCTCTGAGAGCGGCGACAGCGAACTTTCTTTGGTCTTTCCATGTTTCGCCGTTTGTGCTAACTATTCCTAAAACATAAAGAAATTTATATATGTTATTTCTTGATATCGTCGTGAAATTAAGAACTTGTATGTTTCTTTTGTGTTGGAGATATGTTATATAAATGGGAAAAACAGAAATTACATACAGAACATTTACCGACTAGTGGGGTCAAGGTGATTGATATCCCAACACCCATCAAGATGCGGGTAAGAGTGAATCGTCAGCAATCTATCCTTTTGTCGTAAGAGAAAACTGAAGGGATCATGTGGTCAGGTTCACTGGCTTGGTTGATATATGTCCACTTATCACAGTTTACATAGCTGATTAATATTGCTGAAATCAATGAATGTGTTTCAAAGTTCGAACGCAGTTTCTGTTACCAATGATGTCATACATATTTTAGCATATCAATCAGTTTGGTTGCATACCAAATATGCTCCGAAAATGAATAGATATTTAAGTCTCACTAATCACCATTCTGTTAACAGGTGTCATATGCATTGTTCTGGGCAATAGTGGAGACATACTTTGTGTATCACTTGACCTTTCAAACATTTTCAGATACTTGAGTCAACTTCAGCTTCACTATTAGTCAAGGCTTTCAGCTCATAATCGCTGTTTTCTCTCCCTTGACCTTTCTTTTGTCGAAGTGCCGTTTGGCGTAAAACATGTCATCGCATTTCGGGTATTCGGACGACTAATAAAGTATTTGCAGTTTTCTCGCTGATATAGAACCGACTCCGTGGTGTAGTGGTTAGAGCGTCCGCCCGGAGAGCGGAAGGTCGCCGGGTCGATCCCCGACCGCGTCATACCAAAAGACGTTAAAATATGGTACTTGTTGGTCCCTGTCTGGCGCTCGGCATTAATGGGTACAACAAGGACTGGTCGGCTCGGAGTCAGTATAATGTGTCTGAGTGGGGTATTCATGCTTCACTGCGGCATGGTATCTCAGTGGGCTAGCACTATAAAACCAGCTTCAGTCTGAGCTAGTACAAGCAGCAGCACATACACATACAAACGCATGCACGTCGTCACATGAGCGAAATACTCTCAAGCACGACGTTAAACCCAATTTCACCTCACCTCACCCCGCTGATATAGAACTGTAAATCGTTTCACAAAATTTCAAAAGACAACCTTATATGAAACAAAAGCAGTCATCCAACTATTTGTAAGGTCTGGTTGACGCAACTCCCCTCGTTTAAGCGCGGGTAAACGCCAGCATCCAAAAACGTGTGATGTCTAAAACAGTGGTAAAGGTGGTATGTAACAACTGTCCCCTAGAACTTCTTAATGCAAAATAAACAGTTACCTACCTTTGCCCTCACTCAAAATATCCGTGAAAAAGGAATGAGGCCTGTATGAAAAAACGTCGGCGTTCTTGACCAGGGCCTCCTTGATAACATGGTAGCCGTTGAGGACGATGACCGGCCTGTGGAAGATGTACACGCTGAAGATGTCGCCGTACTGACGTCGCAGATTGTTGAAAGCGACTCGGGGGTCTGTGTCCATTTGAAAAATGTTGCCCACCAGTGGTAGAAGTGGGGGTCCGGGTGGTAATCCTGCAGGACGCCGTGTTGACAGCCATAGTATTAGTAACACAGCGATAAACACCAGTATCAGAGATGTATTAAACATCAACATCCCCACCAGCAGTGCGATAGAAGCCATAACAGCAGCAGTGCTTGAATTTAACATGGCTGCCATTTCGACACCTACTCGCCATATTGATCTATGATATACTAGTAATTATAAATTGTTCTCTGAATACCAGACATGATTGGACAGGAAGCCCTTACCGAGTACGGCGTTATTCAACATACAAACAAAACATGTATAGAGCATTATATACTCATGCCAATAATGGTTGTCACCCCTTAAATTTTTTAATTGGTGTGGGGTGTGGGTGTGAGTCGTGTGTGGGGTTGGGGTGACAACGATTATTGGTATGAGTATATTTGTTAGTTTACAGTTGATTACTGATTACATAGAATAAATGAGTGTGTTGGATTTAACAATATTCCAGCAATATCACGGCGGGGGACACCAAGAATGGGCTTCACATATTGTGCCCATATGGAGAATCGAACCCGAGCCTTCGGCGTGACGAGCGAACGCTTTAACCACTAGGCTACCCCCCTGGGCCCATACTCGCAAAGATGATACGTTTAGTCACTGATCTCAGTTGATAACATGAAAAGATTTCCACTTGATTACATGTAAATAAATGAACGCAGTAAAACAATTTCTATTAGCATTATGGTAAACATGATAAAACCATTTAGTAATATTTCATTCCATTGACGCCACCAGTCATAAGGTGTCCTCACATAAGAACTACATCCCATAAGAACTACAGCTTAAAACAACACATGTTATGGTCCAGTGCACAGATTAACTACATGCTGTTACCTGCGTCTGCTTAATAGAATTGCCCAACAGAAAACATATAAATATTATTTGGAGACTGATATCGTTACTGAATGTGTCTTGCCCTGCCGCGTTGGCATTTCTGGGAATACAATGGCCGATCTTGCTGCCAGGGCGGCACTCAACAAATCTGTGACACCGCTTCTTATTCCATACTCTGATTACAAAGCTAGCATTAGAACTTATGTCCGTGATCTGATGCAGAAGAAGTGGGACACCCAAGTGGGTATTAATAAATTACATGAAATAAAACCTTACATTGGTTACACCTACTTGGGTTGTCAGTCCAGATTTGAAGAGGTCATCATACAACAATGTCGTATTGGCCACACAAGATATACACATGAATACTTGCTTAAAGGTGAGGATCCTCCGTTTTGTATCCCTTGTGATGAAAGAATCACGGTCAAGCATGTCCTGCTTGACTGCATTGAACATTCCATCACAAGGGATAACTATTTCAAAGCACGAACTATGAAGGATCTTTTTACTCATGTCAGTTCTCATTTAATTATTGCATTTTTAAAAGAATTAGATTTGTTAACTAATTTGTAAATAGATAAATATTTTATTATTGGAAGTTTAAATTAATACCTTAGATTGTTAGTGGCTGTATCCTCAAGGGGGTGTTAAAGTATTGTAACCTGAGAGGGTACGTAAGTCCCAAAATTTTCAAAGTCAATTTAAACTGTGCCAGGATTTTTAAACGTAGCATTCTTGTCGTTTTAATTTTGGCTAACATTTCTTACAATCGCCAGCAGCTGAAGGGATGGTGTAAATCCAACTAGGGTCCATGCAGGTAGCAAAGGTACTGTGAGTCCCCATGGTCCCTGGTATGGTGATCTACCTTCTGGTGTTGGCGATCTATAGCCTGTTTTTATATTGTATTGTCCAAATAGTGCTATCAGTTTTAACTCTCCACACTAGTTTTAGTTGTAATTGTGATATTCTAGTTGTTTTTACTGTCCTTCGTTGACAGGTTTTTATAACGTACATATATTCCATTTCAATGTCAAATGTTCTCATTTCACTTTTATTGTATAAATTGTTTTCGTCACGATATGGCTGAGATATTGCCGATGTGACGTTCAATATTAACTCACTCACTTATTCACTCACTGAATGTGTCATCAAAGATCAGTTCGGCAACAGTAGCAAATAGAATTAAAAGGGTATTGGCTTCAGTTATTAACGAAGATCAAAAATGATTCCTTGCTAATAGATATATTGGAGAATGCACAAGACTGATATACCACATAATGGATTATACAGAAACTATGGAAATTCCTGCAATGTTACTACTGATCGATTTCGAAAAAGCCTTTGACTCCGTACACCAGGTTTCGATATGTTCAGAAAGGAAATAAGTAAAGTTTACAATATCGAGAAAACACATGCAATCTCTTCTTGTAATTGTACTAAATTTGTTGGATTCTGGTCTGATTGCCATCAATTGTTTGATTGCTATTAACTTGCCCATTTTCCTACAATGTCATTTGTTATAATATGCTTGTCAGTGTGAGATACCGCCAAACTCTGCATGCAAACGCATGGTATATATTTGGTTGTCATTTGATGTCATGATTTTGTACCTAAAAATAAGTAAATAAATAAATACCTTTCATAAACACATACAAAGTTCACCTGATGGTAAGGCATGTTATTTACATAGTCAGAAACAGGTGACATACCGGACTGTTGAAATGGGAAATATATTGTACTATTCCGTCTCATTTAACGCTGAAATAACCAGCACAATAGGAGATTTGAAGACTAACAAATCACCGAGATACGACAATATTTCAGGAGATCGTTTTACACAATTCGAAGGACAACATTTCACCTGCGTGTTGTACTTTGTTATGAAATCATGACATTTCACTTTTTCCCAGCGTATTTCACTACACACAGTATTTTAAAAAGCAATGACCTCAACGTCCGAGTGATTATATTCACTACAGACAATATTTTAACATTCATCGGCCTCAACATCCGACTGGTTATATTCACTACACGCATTAATTTAACATGCGTCGACCTAAAAACCCGAGTGATTATATTCACTACAGACATTATTTTAACATACATCTACCTCAACATCCGGGTGATTACATTCTCAACACGCATTATTTCAACATGCATCGACCTCAACATCCAAGTGATTATATTCCCTATACGCATTATTTTAACATGCATCGACCTCAACGTCCGAGTGATTATATTCACTACAGACATTACTTCAACATGCATCTACCTCAACGTCCGAGTGATTATATTCACTACAGACATTACTTTAACATGCATCTACCTCAACGTCCGAGTGATTATATTCACTACAGACATTACTTTAACATGCATCTACCTCAACGTCCAAGTGATTATATTCCCTATACGCATTATTTTAACATGCATCGACCTCAACGTCCGAGTGATTATATTCACTACAGACATTACTTTAACATGCATCTACCTCAACGTCCGAGTGATTACATTCACTACAGACATTACTTTAACATGCATCTACCTCAACGTCCGAGTGATTATATTCACTACAGACTTTACTTTAACATGCATCGACCTCAACATCCTAGTGATTATATTCCCGATAGGCATTATTGTAACATGCATCGACCTCAACACCCGGGTGATTGCATTCACTATATGCATTATTTTAACATAGATCTACCTCAACATCCGGGGGATTACATTCACCATACACATTATTTTAACATGCATCGACCTCAACATTCGACTGATTACATTCATTAAACGCTTTATTTTAAAATACACCGATCTCAACATACAGGTGATTACATTAACTATACTCATTATTTTAACATACATCTACCTCAACATCCGGGTGATTGCATTGACTATACACATTATTTTAACATACATCTAACTCAAGATCCGGGTGATTACAATCTCTAAATGCATTATTTTAACATACATCGACCCCAACATCCGGATGATTACATTCACTATACGAATTATTTTAACATCCATCTAACTCAATATCCGACTGATTATATTCACTACACACATTATTTTAACATCCATCTACCTCAATATCCGGGTGATTACATTCACTATACGCATTTTTTTAACATGCATCAACCTCAACATCCGACGGATTATATTCCCTATACGCATTATTTTAACATGCATCGACCTCAACATCCGAGTGATTATATTCCCAATGCGCATTATTTTAACATACATCGACCTCAACATCCGGGTGATCACAATCACTATACGCATTATTTTAACATGCATCGACCTCAACATCCGAGTGATAATATTCCCTATACCCATTATTTTAACATGCATCTACCTCAACATCCGACTGATTACATTCACTACAGACAGTATTTTAACATGCATCGACCTCAACATCCGGGTGATTACATTCACTATACGCATTATTTTAACATACATCTACCTCAACAGGACCAAAAGTCGGATAGTAAACCATTGACATAAACGTAAATACAGTAGAAAATACATGCCATGACCGGATTTACGTATGTTTTCAGATATTTCCTAACTTCGGGCATATATTTCATATGAATCTATACCTTTGAAAAATATGCTCAGCGTACATTTTCGTATGCACAAGCACGTCGTTCATGTATGCCCTGACCGGATTGTCAGGGATTTCCAAACATGAATTGCAAAACAGATACCCCGGTAAAAACATGATCATACAGTATTTCCAATGCATTCCTTTGAATTTCAATGGGTGCCGAAGTTTACTCGGGTTGGAAACATGTGAATTTACTTAGGTGGGGAAACAAACACTTTCAAATTTGCAAATATTTACACACCTTAGATATTTATGTATCATACCGGATTTCATGGGTATGTATATGAACGGTTCATACACCTTCATGTTACCTATGCTCAAGCAAGATGATCATATGTTTCCATCATGTGAATTACTTGGTTCATGTTATTTCATTTTCCCACATTTTAGTACGTTTGAAATCAACGCTCACATGACCTCAATATTCTTATCACCAAAAGGGCCTGACAAAGAAAGCAGTATTACGCAAGCTAACACGCCTTATTAAGTTGCACTTGCTCTTGCTACCAGTATAAGTTACGCCTTGTCTGTGGTGTTTGCAAATCTTGTGAGGTGCGAGGGATTAAAAGGTTCAGTGGTGAACAAAGGGCGATGCCCCTTTGTCCTCGCAAGTGTCCC